CTATGCCCTCGCGGAAAAGCATGTTAATATTCAAGTTACCTTTTGTTACGACGGTCTCGTATAGATCCTCAAACTCAGCATCCCAGTGCGGATACTCGCGGCGCATAGAGCTCCAGAAGTTCTCAGTATGTTCTAAGATCTCTTTGATATGCTCGTATTCGATCGGCACCCATACTGATGCGCTAGGAGGTGCTTGCGGAGATGGGTTTGCGTTACGCGCCTGCGGTTGTATCTCCCTGAGCGGCTCTCGATTCATTTGGTTGAGTTGCCCGACAATCAGCAATTTAGTAAGGCTCTTAATATCCTCATCGCCACTACTCCCGCTATTATTGCCTCCTCTACTACTGCGCTTGCGTCGGTTTTTCTCATGATCCGCGCGATCCTTCTGCCTTAGTATCGCAAGCTTTACATCATCTGTTGGGTCGTCGTAGGTTGCTACTCTGCTGTGTATATCCCTCGCCCAGATCGCGATAATATTGCCGTTAATAGGTAGGTGGTTTTCGAATCGCGACGCCGTCCCTGGCCGCAGCCAACAGCTGTATGGGAAGTTACTGCAATGCTTATCTATACAGCGCCATCGATCTCGAAGTCCAATAGCATGACCGCCGCCTGCTCGTTCAGCAGCTAGAACACCAGCTATCCCATCCTCTTGTATCATCGTCGCCGTCACCGGGCGAGCGCGAGCGCTGGCACCAATGATAGCAGCTCGTGGTGCCTCGTTCAACTCCTCAGTGAGCATGAGATCGAAGTCGACATGTATGTACTCGTTGGCAGCCTCGTCGATGGCCTTGACTAACTCCTTCAGCGCGTACCAATCCTCTAAATCGCCTCTACGCAACGCTTTGATTGCACGATCGCGCTTGAGCTGACGAGCTGGATATACTACCGCGCAAAGCGTAGGTTTCTTTACTTTACGAGGCTTCAAATCATCAACGACTCTATCCACCCAGTCCCACAGCTCAAATTCGAAGAGATCGTCAAACTTCTTATCACGCGCAACGTTGTACGCTGTAGTTATTGCGTTCTTCTCCATATCACCAAAGCAAGCCCGCCATCTAACATGAACGAAAGGAGAAACAATAGGTATAGGCGACGATGGAAGATTTGGCAGCTCCTGTTCCTCCTCAACTCCGCCGTTGCCGCCGTCCTCTCCATCCTCCTCCTCCTCCTCTAGACCATCATCTTCGCCATCAATTATATCCTCAGCTTGTATTGCAACAGCGGGCTGCGTATGCGGCGGCTCGGGCTCGAAGAGCGGGCTCTGATTACGAGGTAAGGTGGGAGGCGGCGAGGCGAGTCCTCCGGCAGAGACTGAGCCAGTACGGCGAGCACTCTTTCTTGGCGTAGCTTGTATGGGGGCAGTATACCGTGAGGACTGCTTGCGCTTCTTCGATGGACGCGGCTCGCCCGGGTTGACGCCCTGTTCGAATGGCTGTGTTGCGACGCGCACTCGTTTTGGGCCCATAATCTGAAGCCTAGGGCGTAATTTTGAGCCTATAAGAACATTTACACTAAAGAAACAAGCTATACCAATGATTTGGCGTATACGAGAAGCCTCACAGGTTTTGAGCGCAGGTAGGGGTGCGTAAGTCCCTTGATTACATAGGCTTGTATACTAATTTGGGTGGGGTTGATGTTCGCGCGGGTAACGTCAACCATATACAGGGGGTCGCACTTTTATGAAAACCCCCCATA